TACAGAGACGAAGCCAGGACTAAGATTCATACAAGGAAAGTTGTGTATTAGGGACGATTCAATCAGACGGCGACTGTAAAAGTTGGAAGTAGGGAAGACAGTTTTAGCAGAAGACCAGTCAGTAGGATGACTGTGATCTCTGACGTGACAGAAAAAAAGCATTGTTAGTGTCGGCAATCCAAACACTACTTTTGTCCTCCCTAAGTCTGCCAGAAAGAGATTGGCCAGTTTCTCCAAAGTATTGAAGAGGACAGGAGGAACAAGAAATAGAGTAGATGCCTGGAGCATCTATAGAGGGAGGAGAAACATGAACTAGATTAGTGCGAAGAGTGTTAGTCTGGCGGAAAGTAAGTTTGATATCTAAGGAACTGAGAGAATTGTTGGGATTAGAAAGACCGGAAATGTAGGGAAGGCAGAGGACAGGAGAGTTACCAAAGGAATAAAAAGAGTTTGGGAGAGGAGAAAGTCCGTTAAGCACGTGAGAAGGCAGAGTCTATGAAATGGGAAGGGTAGCCAAACGGGAAAGGAATTATGAAGAGTGAAAAATTCTGATTCAAGGAACTGAGGATCACAAATCGGAGAGCACGGAGAAAGAGGGAGATAAGAACACTTTTCTTGACAGAGGAAGCATGATCAGAAATGTAGTGAATGTACATGCCACTGTGTATAGGTTTGCGGTACACAGAAAAGGCAAAACCTGTATCTGAGCGGTGAACATGAACATCAAGGAAGGGAAGCAAAGAATTAGATTCCCATTCAGCTTTAAACTTAATGGAAGGGGCAAAGTTATTAAGAGCATCAAGAAATGGTTGGAAGAGACTCGAGTCATGAGGCCACAGAGCAAAGATGTCATCTACATAGCGGAGCCAGAGTGAAAGGCGCACATCAGTAGTAAGAAGAACAGTCTCGAAGAATTCCATGTAAAGATTAGCGAGAACAGGAGAAAAAGGAGGATCCATATCGACACCGAAGGATAAGATAAGATCAAGAAAGACATCAGTAGGTATAGGGAGATGAAGAAACCCTTCATTGGCCTTCTCTTCTAAGAAAATCAAGGAGGGACATTGGTCGGGAGAGAGCGAACCCGTTCGATGAAGTCTTGAGAGTTACGAGGGTGGGCAGGAGAAAAAGTACCAAGGGAGTGAGGGTTTTGGTCAGCCAAGATGCAAGAGAATAAGAGACAGAACCTCTAGAGGATATGATAGGACGCGGAGGAATATCAGGTTTATGAGTTTTGGGAAGGCCATAGAAATAAGGAAGAGAGGAACAGATGACACGAAAACATAGAACAAGGTCAAAGTCAGGAGGACAGAGGTCGGAGAGAGTTCTTAGTTTCTTGTTGAAAGTTCTCTTGATGCTATCGAGAGGGTTGGAAACGAGAGGAGTGTAGGTACGTGAGTCAGCTTTACGGAGGTAATCCTCGCGATCAAGGATAACTACCGAATTACCTTTGTCAGAAGAGAGGATGGCAGTGTTAGTGTTAGATTTAAGAGAAGAAAGAGCAAGTTGATAGCGGCGAGGAAGGTGGTGATTCTTAGAAAACAGACTAACAAGAGCAGGAAGGAGAGCGCCATGAAAAGTGGACAAGTCAGGAAGATTACGAGAGAGACACTGACGAAAAGAATCAAAAGAGCCAATCAGGTCAATACCAGTGCGAGGGGCAGGTGAAGAGGCAAAGACCAAAACCAAGAAGTTCTAGCTCGTGTTGAGAGAGTGAGACAGAAAACAGGTTAGTAACACAGTCGGTAAGGGAGAATTTAGACCAAGGGCTAGCTGAGATGAGACGTCGAAGTTTATTCTGTAGTTTAGAAGAATGAATTTGTGAATTTAGGTGAGCAATGTCAAAAGCAATGGTAGAGAGAAGGTTACAGAAATCTTGAGGTAGAGCAGCAAAGAGATCACGTTGACGTTGACGGAGAGTAAAGAAGGCATCTTCCCCTTTCCTCTTTCTCCTTTGGGTTTTCTTTCTTCTGCTTAGGTATTTGTTCCTTCATTATTTTCCCCCCTCTGTGTTCTTGTTCTTACCCTCTGTGGGCACCTAGTTCCCTTGTGGGCCTCTAGCTCCCTTGTGGGCCCCTAGCTCACTTGTAGTGCTCCTCTTTCTTAGTATTTGACTAACTCCACCACTACCATTACTACCTCCACCACTACTACCTTGTACCTCCACTACTACTACTACTACTACTACTACTACCACCTCCTGGCCTATATATACTCCCTCCTCTCCTTTTCGTCCTGGTCTGTCGTGCTCTGTCCGATCACACAGTTGCTCTACACTCAAGAAGCCTCTCTTCTACCCCGCCGGGGTGGGGAATTTATATTCTACAAACGTCACATCCTTTTCTCAATGCTGTCGCATGGTGTGAAAATCAAGCCGGTGAATGGTGCAATAAATGACTCCTCGAAGTTAGCTTTAGCTACCGTCGTTAAGACCCGCCTGCAGGTCAAATTTACGGCAATCCACTCTCTGAAGGACTCCTTCATTGTCGTCTGCACAGACGACACGGAAGCATCAAAACTAATGGACGACTCTTCAATCAGGACCCTACAAACACAACAATTCACTATATCCCCGTCTCCATTCTTGAAGTTGAAACGTTCGGTCTTTGTTAAAAGACTGGACAATATCGTCACCTCTCTCTCTACTGAAGCACTGAAGACATCTATTGAGGAACAAAACACCTGGGCCTCGGTAGTCAGCATCTCCAAGATCCCCAACGCCTCTTCTATGCTAAAGATTACATTCTCAGACGTCTCCATGGCTGCCCAAGCTCTCTCTGATGGTCTGGCCATCTCATATTACCACATTCACCCAAGTCATATAGAACAAGAACGTTTCACATACATCTCCCACTGCTGGACCTGCTACTCCTATAATCACACCACCAAGGACTGCCCCATCAAGGATAAGTTTTGTTCAAAATGTGGGAATGATGGACACGATTTCAGATCCTGCAACATTACTACAGCACCAACATGTCTTAACTGCAAGGGTAATCATCATACCCTTACAGCTAAGTGCCCACTCAGGAAAGAAAACTAAAGTTCTGAAGAACACCTCTAATTCACCGACATACGCTGCAATAACTAAACCACAAACCGACACCACCAAGACTCTACACGCCAATCTACAGGCACCATCGCCCAGCAACTCCCTCTCTCCACTTCCCGACGGTGCTTCCTCCAAGGTGCTGTACTGCATGGTGCATGCACACCTTGCAAACGCAGCAAACCCCGGCACTTTCAACACCACTATTAACGAACTATTCCGTCTGAACAACATGCCTGCCTTCAATTTTCCCGACGCCACACCTTCAGCCGACATCCTCAAGATCCTTCCCAACGCCCTGAACTCTACTGCACCTGCAGACCTGTCTCCTGCCCATTTGCTACTGTAACTTCTATAACCACTTCCACCGCCGACAACGATGATCATCCCAAACCATACCCCCGGCCGGGATTGAACCCGCGGTCATAGAGTCTCAAAACTCCAGCCCGTCGCGTTAGCCACTAGACCAGCTAGCCACAATAAGATTCATCCAACTAGGTATATTTCTACACCATAGGAAAGTTAGCACAGGCACCTCTGTGACCACAAATGCAAGTTTTTACAGACGAATCTCCAGCTAGCGTGGCCGTGACGAACTCTAGCTCAAGTCCCTTCACTGCCGTCAACATGACTTAAGAAATCGTAATGACACCATTGCAAATAAACCATACCCCGGGCTGGGATTGAACCCGCGGTCATAGAGTCTCAAAACTCCAGCCCGTCGTGTCATTACGATTTCTTAAGTCATGTTGACGGCAGTGAAGGGACTTGAGCTAGAGTTCGTCACGGCCACGCTAGCTGGAGATTCGTCTGTAAAAACTTGCATTTGTGGTCACAGAGGTGCCTGTGCTAACTTTCCTATGGTGTAGAAATATACCTAGTTGGATGAATCTTATTGTGGCTAGCTGGTCTAGTGGCTAACGCGACGGGCTGGAGTTTTGAGACTCTATGACCGCGGGTTCAATCCCGGCCGGGTGTATGGTTTATTTGCAATCGTGTCATTACGATTTCTTAAGTCACGATGATCATGCTGCCTCAACCACCGTCTCCCACCTCTCCCAGCCTGCTGTTACACAACCATTACACTTCTCCACTGCTCCTGTCGACCCTCAGTCACCTGAGGGTCGACAATGAATCCACTCCAGAAGAGGAAGACACCGACGACTCCAGTAAACCCTCATGGGAAAACCTTACCTTCTACACTTCTCCTTCAAATACTGACACCATGACCTGTACTGAACTCTACAAAAGCCTCGGTGCTGGAACAGTCAAGTATGCCTGTGAATCACCGCTTCACTTCACACTCACCCAAGTTCTTGAGTTCATCAAGCCTCTACGTTTCACCTTCAGTAACAAGGCTAAATTATACCACCTATCTAGGAGCAGCTTCAAAAAGTTCGAAAATGGCTCCATTGCTAACCTGCCTCCTCAGTTACTCCTATAACTCCCATATGTGTTCTACTCTCTGATGTGACCTAGCCTGCTGCCAGCTACTCAAGATTCAAGACTTCAACGACCACAAGTTCGATGCAACAGTCCCTGCTATTCCTGTTCTCAAGTCTGCCCCACGATCGCCTTAGTTGCTGGGTTAAGCCCTGGCTCTGTTTCTACAACTAAGAACACTCCTCTCCAGAGCTATTCTTCGTCTGTCCCGTCTTCCCCGCTCATCCCATTGGGATCTTACCTGAACTTGTTTGCTTTGCTTTGCTTCCTTTTCGTTAGTGTGACTTTGTAAATGGTCCAAGTCGGACCGAAACGTCGTCCTAAGCTCCTCTCTTCTATGTGCGGGTTATTTGTGTATTGTTCCAGTCACGGTATTGTGCCTCTTTATGTTGTTTATGAGTCATGAACCATATAAACATGTGCTTGGAAAACACTGTGGAAAGTGTGAATTCATTATCAAATATTAAGTATTTTGTTAGTGTGATTGATCCATTTTTACTACCAACAGGACAATCCGCCAGACTACGAGTCTCTTATTAAAGCTGAGACACCGCCACCATCCTTCGACGAGGTGCATTTCTACGAACACTACACCAATACCTCAACCACTACCACCATTCCCACCACCACCACTAACACAATCCCCAACACCACCACGCCAGTCACAACAAGCACTCCCTCTTATCAGCTACACTACACACCCGACACATTCGCTCCTCACCAGCCCGACCATACAGACAACACTACCCTAACAAGCCACAAATCTGAATACACGAACGAATTCTTCACTGCTACTTGCACTAGTCACACCTCTACCAGTCATAAACCCGGCCCCATCCAAGACCTCGCCCCTATCCACGTTCCGTGCGTGTAAATTAAGTTTAACAATTTAGTTTCATGGTTTATAACTGTATGGTTTTGTGATGAAGATATCATCACCTCTTCTGTGTACTGGAGAGGCAGTAGCTACTAAAACCACAGTGGAATCATTGACGACATCCTCATTGACCTGCTCAAGTCTTCCAGCCCAGATCGACAGATGTCATCACCTAGGTGTACGAAACCCAACCTGTGTGATAGATCATGCCAGGGAAACACAACCAACTAGCTGTTGTACTGCCTGCTGGGTAGCAACTTACTGTGCAGGTGTTCCCATTACGTAGCTATCATGTACAGCAGAGTAAGATAGCAGCACACTGCGGATGCATCAAATTTTATTTACGGACGCTTACATGAAACTTAAGAACAGTATATTGTGATAATAATTTGTTTAAATATACTTTCTGTCATAACAGAGAGTTAGTTATCTCAGTGTATGCATACTGATATTATCAGAGTGTATGTACACTGATATTATCTCAGTGTATGTACACTGATATTATCTCAGTGTATGTACACTGATATTATCTCAGTGTATGTACACTGATATTATCTCAGTGTATGTAATAAAGTGTACTTAGCAACACATAGACAGTTGGATCATATAAGACGCACGTTCGGTAGACAGGACTTAAAATTGTGTCAACTTTAAACCTAACTTGCTGTAATGGAAGCTAGGAAAATAGTTATGGTAACTTTATTACATGTTGCAGTGTATACTGTTACATTTTGCTATGTCTATTGTTGTTACTGTGTCTATCACTGCTTGTTAATGTGTCTATTATTTCTTGTTACAGTGTCTATCATTATTTGCTACAGTGTCCAGCATTACGTTTTACAGTATCCACTGCTACATGTTACAGCGTCTACTGTAACACGTTAGTGTTTATCTGAAAGCAGTGACAATTTTTTTTTTTGATACTGTTAATGATTCTCAATACTGACTTGGTAGTGGATGCAGTGACAGACCAACCACATGCTGAGGCAGTGAGCACACTTTGCAGGAGCCGACCTTGAGAAGTGTGATCATAGTGTCATGTTGCATAATATGCGTGGCAAAAGGATGAGGGAAGAAGGTCTGCAATTGGAATTTCGGCCTTCCAACAAACAGAACGAAAAGAGTAATATACTCAACAGAGTTAAGTCCGAGGCTGCCACAGTGCAGCCTCGGACTGCACTGTGTCTGACATAGAGTGGGACATGATCTATAGCACCGCATCCTCCGTGGCTGATGGTACTAGACTTTGGAAGAGCGTGATATCAGTTGAGCACACTGTGAGGCGGATATAAGTAAGTCTCTCAGTGAGCCGCCAGGAATCAATATGATGTTTAATGAGGATAAATTTCAGATAATTCTTTATGCAAAAATGGAAGAAATAAAAACTTGAACAGAGTATGAAACTAATTCTAACCACTCATTAAAACAAAAAACTTAGTGCAGGGTTCTGGAGTGATAATGTCAGGGAATCTCACTTTCAAGGATCACAACAGTGTCATTATCACAACCGCGAGGAAAACGAGAGGATGGATACCAAGAGCCTTTAAAATAGATGTCAAGTCAGTGATGATCCTCTTCCAGTTACTTGCTGTCTGTAGGCTGGCATATTGCTCTACACAAGAGTTCCTCTGAAAGAGTACAAAGTTGCAGAGCTGGAGAATGTATAGAGAAACTTCATTGCTCGTGTAAGTCTAATTAAGCACTGAAAATAATTGAAATATTTGAAGTCCCTTGACTTGTACTCCTTGGCACAGAGGCGAGAAAGATACATCATAATCTATAACTGGAAAATACTAGAGAGATTGGCACCAAATCTGAGCACAAAAATCACTTCCTACGGTATCAAGAGGTTCGACACATGGTGCAAAATACCCCTTTACGAAATAAGTGTTAAGTCCCATACATAACTCCCGTACATAACTCTCATACATAACTCCCATACATAACTCCAATACATAACTTATACATAACTCCCATACATAACTCCAATACATAACTCCCATACATAACTCCCATACATAACTCCCATACATAACAGGATTACCAAAAGATCCTTAGGTGCGGTCAAGACCCCTGGGTGTCTTCAAGACCCCTGGGTGTTTTCAAGACCCCTGGGTGTCTTCAAGACCCCTGGGTGTCTTCAAGACCCCTGGGTGTTTTCAAGACCCCTGGGTGTTTTCAAGACCCATGGGTGTTTTCAAAACCCCTGGGTGTTTTCAAGACCCCTGGGTGCTTTCAAGACCCCTGGGTGCTTTCAAGACCCCTGGGTGCTTCCAAGACCCCTGGGTGTTTTCAAGACCCCTGGGTGTTTTCAAGACCCCTGGGTGTTTTCAAGACCCCTGGGTGTTTTCAAAAGAGAACCGGATAGGTTCCTAAAGTCAGTTCTTGATCAGCCCATATCACCACCTGCCCATGGTGTCACCCCCCTACACAAAGTGTCACCACCTACCCACGGTGTCACCCCCACCCAAGGTGTCACTGCCTATCCACGATTTCACCACCTACCCACGGTGTCACCCCCCACCCAAGGTGTCACTGCCTATCCACGATTTCACCACCTACCCACGGTGTCACCCACCCAAGGTGTCACTGCCTATCCACGGTTTCACCACCTACCCACGGTGTCACCACCTACCCTCGGTGTCACCACCTACCCACGGTGTCACCACCTACCCACAGTGTCACCACCTACCCAAGGTGTTGCCACCTACCCAGGTGTCACCACCTACCCACGGTGTCACCACCTACCCACAGTGTCACCCCCTACCCAAGGTGTTGCCACCTACCCACGGTGTCACCACCTACCCACGGTGTCACCACCTACCCACAGTGTCACCCCCTACCCAAGGTGTTGCCACCTACCCACGGTGTCACCACCTACCCTCGGTGTCACCACCTACCCACGGTATAACATACTAAAATAATGTATTTAATATCTTATCAGTAAGTAAATATCGAATCTTTCTCTATTATATTTACGTACCTTCATTATTCTAGCTCTCACAATGAACACAAAACAATGGCTTCGAAATGTAAGCAATAAATGGCTTTTCTTTTACAATATAAATTGTGAGAAATTACCTGCATGAGATTTACAAGGTATTACCTGAATTATTACAAATAATTTATTACATGTAAGTAATTTGGGTGAGGTAATTTGGACTTGGTCACAGTAGGTCACAGAACTGTCACTCCCTCGATGCCCATTCCTTCACCACTCTCACAAAAAGCTAGACCTAATATTAAATTAATAATTAACATTAACACAAAAAAGTTACTCTGGTAAATTAAAATTATGTGGACTGTAAAAAATTCAAAAGAACCGATCTCCAGTAAGGATCAATGGTAACAC